GAGAAAAGAAGATATAGCCATAACTGCTAATTGATAATATAGTCCTTGAGTTTTATCTGATATTGTCTAGAGCATTATCTGAAGCATTATTATTGAATTAGAAAAAAATAATACAAATAATAAATATTTTTTATTCAAAATTAATATCAATATTTGATTTTAAATTGTCAAAGTCATTTATATTAATTATAAAAGATCTTATTGTATTATCTAATACAATAATACTATAATATAATTTAACTCTCAAAATTTATTTTCAATTTTGTTTACAATATGATTTTATAACATATATTTTATAATATATATAATACATGTCTTATAATATACATTTTGTTTAATATTCGTAACGAATATTATTATGTTTATAACTTCGTAAAATAAATTTATCATTTTTTTTTTCTTGAAATTTAAATGTTGCATTCTTCATTGCATATTTTTTATTTAAATCTATGTCAATTTTATAGAATTAATTTACAATGATACAATGAAAATTGAAGAATGCTAATGATTTTCATTTTCGTTTTTGTCATCTCATCTACGATAATAATATATGGTAATAATAAATTTTATATTTTATTGCTTCATATAACAATTCAATTTTGTATCATATATTCAGCAAATATAACATTTTTGAAACGCCAAATATTTTTTATGTTTTCTTTTTTCTTTTTCCATAAATATATTCTCAATTTTCCGCGTGTAATACACATTATCCATTATAATAATAATACACTTTTTAAGTTTTTCTAATATTTTTGAAAACCATATTTTAAATGATGTTGAATTCATATTCTTATAATAAACTCAAAATATCAGGTACAAAATTTTTCTCTACCAATATATACGATGATTTCCTTGACAAAAAAATTTTTCAATTCGATTGAATTAAATATCTATATAAAAATATTGGATGAAAAAAAATTATATTTAAATTCTACCATTTTTTTTATAGCCAATATTTTTTATAGCCAATATTGATCCAGATTTCGTTATATACATATATTATATACATATATAATACACATACGAAGAATATGGAAATATTAATATATATATTATATGACAATTATTCTTTCTGAATTGCTTTAATTTTCTTAGATACACTTTTCACCATATAATAATTTTGTTGCTATCATTTTGTTGCGTTATTCATTTTGTCATCGCGTAAATTTAAATTTCATATTTTTCAATAATTTGTGAAATGAATTTTTTTTTTACATTTCATAAAATATTGTCAACATTAACTTCTTTTAAAACTTTCCGAATTATCATAAAAAAAAATTAATGAATAATAAATCTGATTGCATTTTTACCAAAATCATTCACTTTATCATTAATTTTTAAGTGGTACTTTGTTCTTTTTAGAGATGACATTTTTCTTACTACAATTTCTTTGTATATTCTTTGTATATTCCATAAATTGAGTTAACATTACAAAATCAAATAAAATACAATAAACAATAAAATGCAATGATTTTTTGTAAAAATTTCTGTAATATTTGCAATCGCTGTTATTATGCTATCAATGTTTTTTTTTTCTCTAATTCATTTTTAACACAATTTTTTTTCATTCGTAAGATATTTTTGTTGAATGTTTTTTATTTTAAATGTTAACATATTTTTTCGTTTAAAATCCGAATTATTCATAGATATTTTTACAGAAAATTTATAAAAAATCAAATAAAAATTTAAAAAATATAAGCAGATAATCAATGTGTAGTATATGAAATTTGTTTATTAACTACAAATTTCTCGCTTATATTAAAAATGAATTTCAGAAAAAGCAAGAAAAAGTTTACTAATCAAAAAATAAAAAAACTATAAAAGAATTATAATTGGTCAGAATCATAAAGAAAACTTTCAGTAAATCTATCACTGTCTGTGTGATATCTTTATAAATTTTTATACATTATGTAGTAAATCTTCCAATTCTTCTAATATTTCAAAGAAAAATTAAATCGTTTGATGAAAATTTAATAAATTTTTTAAAAAGTTATTCAATTATAAAGAATATTAGAATATATACTTATATAGCAGAGCATATATATTCTACTCAAAAGAAAGATGATCACTTTGGAATTAATCAATCAGATAATTATTCAGAAAAAAAATATGTTGTAGAAATCAATGTTTTAAACAACTTTTTCTTTTAATGTAACATAGCATATCCATATAGCAAAAATCATCGAAATCGTTCAAGATTCTGTATTCTGAATAATTACCAAATTGAATTACTATTTAAATTCCTATAATATTAATTTTTAATTCAAAAATATATAATTAAAAATTAATTTAAAAATATATTCATTATTATATTCATTATATTCCTGTGATTTTGTTGAGATTAAATATAATTACAATGATTTTAAATTCATGAATTTAATTCCTTATCATGTTTTTATCATATCTTTCAATATGTTTCAATATCATTTGTTCTCTCTCAATTATACATTTTCTTTTTTTGTCTAACTGTCTAAAAAAAATTGACTGAAAAGTTGTCGAATAAAATTGTGAAATTCAATCATTTTATTAATAAAGAATCGCATATCATTTTTATAATTGATAGAGATAAATTCCTGATTATGCTGCCATTTATACAAACATTACATATATATTTCCAAAAAAATGTCAATATAATGTAAAAATTTTCCAAATAATAATGAATTCATTTGATAACTATACAATTAACTATATTTTAATCTAATTAAATCCAATTTAATCTACAATTAAACTAATTAATTTTTAAAAATTTCAAGAATCTAAAAAATGCAATTTAAAAGATAAAAACTATAAGCTTTATTCTAAAATTATATAGGATTTTTATTCATATTATTGTTTCACATTTATTTTAAAAGTATCATAATTTTTAAAAATTTTTACGATCATATTTAATACAACAAATTTTAATAAATAAGAAGTGCAAATTTAATATTGCAATTTTCATCAAAAAATTTAAAAATACTAATTTAGTCCAAATCTAAGATTTAAATTTTTTATAATTTTTTATACAATATTTAATACAATATGACATTGATATTTTAATTATATTTTTATATTTCATATTATAATATAAATTACAATTTACATTTCATATATATATATATATATATATATTCATAATTTAAATCTCTGAAGAAACAATATATGATGAATAACAAATTTTTTGATATTTTAAAAAGAATTTTATATTTGAAAATTTGATAAAAAAATTGTCTTTTTTTACAAAGTTAATGTCATAAAATTTATTTAATCAAAATTGCAAAATAAATAAAATAAATAACAAATAAATATTATCTTTTTTACAAAGTTAATGTCATAAAATTTATTTAATCAAAATTGCAAAATAAATACATATAAAAAAATAAAAATAAGATAAATTAAAACTTATTATTATTACCATATAATTATGTATAATTATGTATAATTTAGTAACATAGAAAATTTCAATTATTTCAAATATTTGAAGGTATTTTATTTAAAAAAAATATACTCATTATTTTTGGTTAATAAAAACTTTTTTGTCTTAACTTATGTATAGAATCTCAAAATTCTTGTATGTAATAATTTGGATTATTATTTTTAAAAATAGAAATTCATTTTTGTATTTATAATGAATAGAAATAAATATAAAAAAATTAAAAACATATATTCAATATATATTGCTGAAAAATTTTTATTAAATTAAAATTTTATTTTATTATTTAATTTTATTAGAAGCCTTTTTTCTCTATCAAATTTTCAAATTTTGTATAAATCATGAAGATTTTCTTAAAATTTTATAAATTAATAATATTATGAAATATCAATATGATATTGTTACGTTTCTGCATAAAAGAATTAATCTGTAATATATATTAATGTCCAAATAATTGATAATATTCTTCATAATGAACAATTTTTATTCACAATTATATTATATTCTAAATTGTTTTTAATAAAAAAATAAAAAAATTTATTTTTTTTAATGATAAAATTACTTTCTAAATATTTATTAATATTTTTACAACATGTATATCATAATTTTTATTTTTTGTAAATTATTCAATAAATTTCTAAAAATATTATTTTACATATTATTTTTTTGTTGAAATTAATTATTATACTTTTTATATCTAAAACTACTATATTTATTTAATATTATTTTTAATAATATTATTAAAATATTAGAATAAATATTAATAATAATAAATATTAGAAATTTTATTTTTTTTATTAACTTGTATACTAAATTTTTAAAAGCTATAATTCTATATATAATTTGAATTTGGTTGAAATTTACTTTATATTAATATTTATTCAAATTAATATAAATATTTTAAAATTTTAATTAAGCATTACATTATATAATATAGCATTATATTATACAAATTATTATTTAAACATTACAATTTTAAATACTCAAAGTTTATATTAAAAAAAAAGTTTATATTTTAATATTTATGTATTAATTTATATATTTTTAGATTAATTTTCTAAGAAAAAAGTTAATTATACCTCATCTTTCTTATCACAAAATTAAAATAGGATTCAAGTTTTCAACAAAACGATGTCATTAATTACTTATTATTATATTATTTGATATTAATATATTTATATTAATATCAAATTGTAGTTTTAATCAAATTTCTTTATATTTATTATAAATTTATAAAAATTCAAAAATTGAAAATAGGGCTTGATATTTATAAAATGCTGATTTGCTTTGTCAAAATGCGCGGGATATTCAAAATAAAAATTTAATTTTTGCTATTCGATATTTTTTATTTATAAAATTATTTTGACATTTCTCATATTCAGTTTATAATAAATTAATTTTAAAAAATTGTTAATAATAAAATACTTGTTTTTAGATTTTTCACAAGAAATACTTAAACAAGATATATTTTATATTCACATCTGCTCAGCTATTTTCAAAGAATCCGCCTTCATTTTATTTATCGATACATTGAAGCAGATATACAAAATTTACAATGTAATAAAGCCAAGTTCATGCAATAATATAATAATATATATTTCATGCTTTTAAGTTGGTACATAACCCAAAATATGTTATGTATAATTATTTTATAACTTAGTAATATAAACTTGTTGTTTCGATTTAAACACTACATAAATACATAAGAAATATGATTAATCCACTACAAAAGTTATTTTCTTTCTTAAAATATTGGTATTTTAGATACATGCTTGTTACGGAATTATACATGGTTGAAGAATGGGAAAGAAACTTTATCAGTATCCTTTCTAAAATGTACATAAAAATTAAAGTCTATTCAAAAAATATTACAATGTATAATTTTATATATTTAAAAAATAGTAACAAATTACCATAATAAAACATTTGAAAATTAATTTATTATTCCTATAATACATATAGATATATTTTTTGTTGTACTCTTCTTTTTCTTTTTTGTATTCAATTGTAAAATAGTATTACCAATTATACAGTACATATTATATTCAAAAACAATAATATTTTAATTGTATTTATTTTAAGAAAAACAACAATTTATTCTTGCATTTTAATTAAAAAAATTTAAAACATAATTAACATTGTATGGTGAAAGTAATAGTAAATTCGTATTCAAAGTTACATATAATTTTTGCATTTTAAAATGAATTAATATAATTTATTAACGAAATATCTTTATTCAAAACCATATGTATATTCTATTATATAATTAAATATTAAATATTCAATTAACTAATAATTGTAGTAACTCATTTTTTTATATTTAATAATAATATATGCTTTGTTACATAAGAAAAACCCTTCACAAAGTGAAATATATTTGATAATTAAATTCCTTTCAAAATTCAAAATAATTATTTATGTAAGATATTTTGTAATAATAATAATAAATATACAGAGCAAGTACAAATTTAAAATTAGCAAATATATTTTAGTATAACATACCACAACGGTATTGGATTTCAGATATTTTTAATTATTTTTTATTATATCAACTAAATTATATTTGAAATGAATATCAATTAATTTAATTACAAATGAACGTTAAAAATAATATAAGAAAAATTTAATCACTAAATTATAGGATATAATATGCAGTGTATTTCTACTTATCATTAATGAAATTTTAATTTATTTATTTATAATATTTTTAATTTATTTATAATATTAATGAAAATATTAGAAATGATGAAATGAAAATGACAACTATTATTTTAATTATGCTAATATTCGTTTTATGTAGAATATGTATAATTTGTTATTACAGTTTATTAATATTATGATTTTTTTGTTAAATGCTAAGTGCCTTCAAAAATAATTCCAATATCTTTAATATTATGATATTATATATAAAGAAATAATTTCAAATCGAACTTTCTAAAATTGCTTAAATTGATTATCCATAATATTCATAATTGCATATGCATAAGAAATATAATTATAATCGCAAATATGTGATACGTAAGTAAAATAATAATATTTTATTTGATATTATAATGTGAAGAAAATAAAGGACGGATTATATTTGAAACAAAAAAAAATATTGTTTTTTAAATTTTGTAACATTTACGAAAAATCAATTACAGTTTTTATATTATTATTCCGTGCAGTGATTTTAATTCTACTATTATATATACACCACATATCACTGTAATAAAGTAGTAAATACGAATGTAAAGTCAATAAAATAATGCCTGATAAACTCTATTAAATATTAATACAGAGATTTATATTAAAGGTAAATATGATATGGATCTTCCATCTGATTGTAAGTCGTTTTCAGTATCTAATCGTCTAACCCGTACTCTTTGCTTGTAATGATATTCCTTGAGATAACTTTTAAGCGTCTTTGGTAATTGTAACTTATTAATACCGTCATATGTCGTCCGTGTAGTAATTACTGCTCGACATAAATGTTGTAAAGGAAAAGCAAAATTTCGATGAAATGGTATCGTAAGCATAGGTTCAAAAAACATAGAACATGATGGATGTTTATAATGCTCAATTAAACCACATACCTGAAAAAAAATACACGAAATTTCGAATATCTATATAATGTATTTTCTATATTTAATTTTAAAAATAAAAATACCGTTTCCGAAGCATAAACTCCTGGATCATGTGAATCAAAACTAAATTTATGATTCCATTGCTCGATTCGAGCATGTAGTGATCGACCATATTTTCGAAAACTAACAGAAAAAATAAACTCTTCTTGGGCCGAATCACGTAACAAAAATGTACCTTCTTGTTTACCCTCTAATAAACGTTCAGCTTCATATCTATCCATTTTACCCCAATAGAAAGAACAAGCTGTAATTGATCTAAGATCTGGCACAAGACAATGAACATAATCAACCTATTAAAAAAATTAAAAATATAAATATCAATTAACAATAACCAATTTATTCTTTTCTATGTTCAAATGGAAATAATCAATTAATTTACCTGAGTATGTGCTGGCCTTTCAATGTTCGGAATTAATGTAAAATCAATTTGTGATAAGGCTGTGAGAGCAGCAGCTTGTATACCAGCATGTGCTTGGAATAAAGCTGCTAAACTGTCTACTGTTATTCCATTTGGATGTACTTGAATTCCAGAAGGATAATTAGGCTTATAACCAGGAGGAGGTTCAACACCTTCCTCCATTTCTCGTGCACGTTGTAATCGTGCTCTTTTATCACAATCCTATAATGAAATATTAAAATAATTATATATATATAATGAATAAATTATTGAATTGAAATATTAATAATACATACTTCCATTGGAAACTCTTCTGGATTAAATCTTGAAAGATTAATTATAGGACTGGGTGGAAGTGGTCCAAGTATTGGACTTTGAGGAGCAGATCGGCTATTAAATATAACACTAGTTCCCATAGAATGTTCTTCAGTTCTTCTATAACCAGTGCAAACACAATCTAAATTATTATTTCCCTGACCAGGAATAATATCTGTACTTTTAGAATTTTTATTTTTAGCACAGTTAAATTTTAACACCCAATTACTTCGTTTTTTCTTCGAAGACAAAATATGAGTACATACTGGATTTTGATCTTTATTACGTTGTTTACCTAAAAAAATTAAATTTTATACATTGTACTATTAAAATTCATAAAAAAAATAAATATTAAAAAACACAAAAGATATATTTTTACCTTCCTCTTTCCAAATGATAAAGTTTTAGAAGATCTCCTTAAAGAAGGATTTATAGGACTATCTTCAGAACTACTACTAGTATTACTACTTCCAGAACTGCTGCAACATGCCTCTTGTTGTTTAAAACATATCTCTCTATTAAAATTTCCATTACTACAAATTTGTTTTGAATTCTGTGCCTCAATTGGTTGACTATATAAAGTTTCAAATCTAGAATTATGATTATCTAGATCTAAATTTACATGATCATTATCCAAACTTCTATCTGCTTTACATTCTTCATGAAGAATTAAACTTAAATTTAATGTAGATACATTTCCATTATTTTCATTTCCATTATGTAAATTTTCTATATCATCTTGATTCATTATTTCTAATTGTGTTGGTTGTATAACATTACATGTTTCAGAAGATTGCCTTTCATTGTCCATTCTAAAAAATTCTTTGAGACTAGCGAAATGCTGTCCCATTATTGAATGGATTGACAGGCATCTTATTGCCCTCAAAAGTATTTCATTTTCATTTTTTTTTTAATAAAAATATTATAAACACTATTACATTATGAATGGTATATATACCATTATATCATGTTACATAAATATACTAATCAATAGGAAGTTTTGATTATCTACAACAAAATATATTATTTTTAAATAAAAAAAATAAAATATTTTAAAAATATTATAATAAAAAATATCTTATCTTAAAATATATAAACTAATAATTAATTTAAATAATTATTATAACAATAATTTAAATAATTATAATTCTTTATAAAATATATTGTATTTATATAATATCGTAAATTAATTATTTAAATTATAATTCAAAATTTAATATAAAACAAATTTTTTTTACAAACATAAATTCAATTTTAAACACAAAAGTATATAAACACAAATATATATATATACATATTTACAGCGTATAAAAATTTTAATGCATGTCTTCACAAAACTATTGAAAGAAATTATTCAGACGTTTATAATGAGCATTTCCTAATGGCAGCTACTTGAAACACGTTCAAACAAGTCTTGATAACTTTTTCTTATTAATTTAGGCATATATATCAACAGATATTTTTAACTTTCACCAAAGAATATATTTTACAATATAAATAGATTGATATTTTAATATATTATACACTTTTCTCTGAAATTAATATAATAAAGGAATTAAAATTGTCAAAACATTACTGTATAGTCAGCCATTTTCCCTAACTGATTCTCTCTCGTGAATCATTGGTAAAATACAAATTAGATAGTATCCCACATATCGAAAAAAAAAGATACTGAAATGAATGCATAAATGCGTAAATAAATTACAGTATATTATTATAGATTATAAATAATTATAAATAATTATAAATAATTATAAATAATTATAAATATATAAATATTCATAATATTTAATAGTTATAAATATTTTTAGTTATTATATATTTAGCAAAAGAAAAAGATTAAATACATAAAAATTAAATATAATACATAACATTTTTTATTTTATTAAAAAATCTCCATAATTAATAATCTTTTATTAAAATCTCCATATTAGTATATTTTTACACGTGACAAAAAAAAAAGAAAAATAATGAATTTGTACATTGTTTGAAGTATTGTTGCAACAAAAAAATCTTTTTAAAATAAAATAATTAAATTTAATAATGGAAATTAAAAAAAACACAATTTTAATAACCGGATTTGGTCCATTTGGTAATCATATTATTAATGCCAGTTGGGAAGCGGTAAAGGAATTAAGTAAATTATGCGTTAATTCAAAAAAGATGAAAGATATTGATATAATCGTGAAAGAGATTCCAGTTTCGTATGAAGATGTTATCATGTATATACCTAAATTTTGGAAAGAATATAAACCTATAGTAAATTTCAATTTATACAGTTATATTTTGAGATTCTATATATAAATAATTTATTTTTTTGCTTTTGTTTCTTATTAGGCAGTTTTACATGTAGGAGTAAGTTATAAAGCACAATGTTTGACTATAGAATGTTGTGCTCATAGTAATGGTTATTTAAAACCAGATATATTTAATAAATGTCCAGATGAAAGTAATATTAAATCAGAAGTTTTGGAAACTGAAATTAATGTTACACAAATCTGTAATATAATTAATCAAAATTCAAATGAAACAAGATGTCATGCTTGTATTTCATATGATGCAGGAAGATATTTATGCGAATATATATTTTATAAATCTCTACAAATTTCATCTGAAAGAACATTATTTGTTCATGTTCCTGATTTTGCTCAATATTCAAGTATACAAACTGCAAAAGGTTTATTCAATATCTTGTATTATATAATTAAAAATATAAAACAAAAATAAAAATAATAAATTTTAAATGTAAATGTATAATTCAAATAATTTACATATATAATATGTAATGTTTATTCTTAATAAAAATTAACAAATTTATATAAAATATCAAAAATTCTTATAATTTATTACTCATGATATACTTGAATCTTCTTTATTCATTTTAAATATTCTAAAATGTTATAAATCAAACAAAACTTGAAATTATTTTTTAAAATTTTTATTTTTTT